ACAAATAAAAAATGAAATGAAATGATATTATATTGATATACTGGGAAAAATAATGACAAAACCTTTAGAAAATAGCTGTGAAAAAAAAACAATTGACCAAATACCAGTGAAAAAAAACACATCATTTGGGTGAACTGACCCTTTAAAGTTTGAATTATGTCCAAAGTTTAAAATAGGTGGACAGAAAGTAAGCAATAAAGGGACAAATTAAAATAAAGAAAAAGGGAAAAGCAGTTGGCTGTCATTCTCCATGCGGGGCAGAGCGGCTCACTGAGGCAGAAACATAATTATGACTCTGTTTAGCTCCATTACAGCCGCTGCACTCCTGCCTGTTACCACCCACATACTCCGCATACTCTGCCTAATTACCCGTCCTCATCACATGGAGGCTTATTGATTTAAACAACATAATTGGGAGGTGCTCTTGGTGGACAGCATAACCTTAATGATAATGGGAAATGGTCTATTTTCCACATAGACTTCATTATCAGCCATTTGATCGTCTGAGGTCATTGATGTGTGATAAGTAGTTTCCTTGGATGTTCAAATGATTCGCTGTCGCACATTTCCACCCTACCTCCTCCTTCCTTTCCGTCCTGCTCTGTCTCTGTGCTTTCCCCAGGACAAGCAGGCAGATTGTGCACTTAAATGGAAATGTGTGGGAGGAGAGAGGCACGGCCTTACTCCTGACACACGAATACAGGACAAGAAAGAAAATGAAAGGAGGCACACTCTGAGCTCATTGAGAGGATGGCAGATATGAATGACAGGAACTGGCAGACTGACATGTTTCACGCACTCTGCAGAGTGTTGATGATTCAAACAAAAGGAGTAAAGTGCAGTATTGCTGTCAGGAATGTTTACTTCATCAGGAGATGGAGGAGAGCAGGAAGCTGCTGCAGCTTCACCTGTTGATAATTTACATTTTGAGCTTAAAGTGCTACCTCTGTGGTCCCTATAGAGAAAGATGGGGAAAAAGCATGTGGATGTGTGTGTGACAAATAAACAATGTAAACAATGGCCACTCAGTATGTTTAAGCAAATATCCCTTGGGTGATGTAACTGCTACAATGACTGCACAAACACACAATGAGAGAGAGAAGCGTCTGTGACCGCTGGTCATGTACTTGATTTACATGAACAGCGCAATATTCAGGAATATTCCAAAGGAAGAAGCTGTGACTCACACAGGCTGATTGTGCTCACACAAATCAGTGAGCGTGGTTGTGCGGATATTTTCTCGCTTTCTATCTCTGGCTTTGTCTTTCTCCTTGATAACACACAAACAAACGCACACAGCTCTGTATTCATCATGTGATTATCTGACAGGGACGATGAGCCTTTTTCACTGAATTGCCATGTAAAATATGTCCAGAGTGGCTATTCAGAAGAAAGATGGAAGCATTGGCTCAGTAACAGCTGAAGTTCAAAGAAAGGTTCCTCTGAATAAAATGTCAAATAAAAGTAAATCATTATTAAAACCAGAGCCTAAAAAGCACTAGAACTACAGATCTGTATTGTAGCGTTACTGCTGGATAAAAACCAACACCAATTTAAAACATTTTTACTTCCACCAGAAGATTAGGTGTGATGTGAGAAACTTTCACGGCCTCTTGGGCCTTATTAAAAAAGTCTACTACAAACCTCCTCTGAAAAAAAAAAAAAACCCTCAAAAATGCACCATCATCAGGTTCCTTTTTGGTTCCCATAAAAGATGCATTTTGAGATACAAAGATTACCTCCAGCTCCACTGATACATTTCAGCGAAGAGCAGCAACAAGCGGCTACTGCAAAACATTTTAAAGGGGATTTAATTACTTAGTCTTGAAACCTGAGATGCTCCTACCTGGAAACTGAGATTTATACAGGCTGGAAAAGGCATTATATCCTCATTCCACAGCATGCCTGAGTGTGTGTATGTGTGTGTCTGGTGTGTGTGCGTAATGTAAAACCTGCCCGTGAGGTCGATAAGGCTATCAGTTTGAGACAATCCTGTGATTATGTGCTGTCCTCCTCTCAGTATTGAGGTTAACTAAAAACAGACACACAGACGCTGCCAGCGGCACACATGTTCACGTGAACACACACACAAACGTGCACATGCTCTTATGTGCCCAGCTACCCATGAAAATCAAGTAAAATTCTATAAGTGACTGTGCATAGACGGGAGGTTTGGAGATGAAATTACATAAACTGCAGATTACAGAGATCCTTTTATAAGCTCCAGTGTGTCGCATTTAGGGGCCTCTCTTGGCAAAAAAGGAGTGTAATATGCATAACAATGTTTTCATTAGTTTATAATGACCTGAAAATAAGAATTGTTATGTTTTCGTTACCTTAGAATGAGCTGTTTATATCTGCATACAGAGGGGATCCCCTCCCACAGACTCTGCCATGTTATTCTTCAGTAACACAGAAGTGGCAAACCAAACACCTGCTCTAGATAGGGCCATTTGAATTTTCACGTTGGCCACTGGAGTTCCTCTACACGCTTGATGCATGGAAGAAGTTTCAGTTCTGCAACCTCACCACTAGATGTCACCAAATCTTACGCACTGGACCTTTAAGCCAAAAATACATGTTGGATCAAAAATGACCCGACTTAGAATTGATTATTTTATTCTGAAGGCTGTGTAATTTATATGTTATGACAGAAAAACATTTGGCGTTACTGATAGGAACACTTTCTTTTGTCAACAAATCAGATTAAAAGCCCAAAGCCTACAATGTGTTAGTCAGTCTCCCAACACTGTGTGACATCTGCAGCACCAAGCCCATCAGAGCCTCTGTCCACACACTGATTTTTTTCTTTCCTTTATATTATGCGGCTGCTCCAACTGCTTCTGGTTGACAATCAATGAATTTTTAAGAAAGGTGAATTTTTATGATATAACGTCACTGCTGCTCCATTGTCAAGGCAACTGTATGATACGTCAGTCAGAGACTAGCGTGGCAGCAGATTGGCCGGACACTTAAAGTTGCTGGTGAGAATTGTGCTCCTATCACTGTTCACAGTGTGAGCTTTTTTTTTTCTTTAGTTCTTTCTGTAGGCAACCCTCTGTTTATGGAGCTAAGTTAGCCACCTAGCTGACGTTAATGTCAAGACATTATTATCATAGAAACATACCCACTTGTGGCATGTCATTTAAAAAAGTGCTAGAGGCGCTTTCTATCACGCACTAGGATGAAGCGCTCCCCAGCGCCTGCCTCTTTTCTGCTGAAGAAAAACATGATGTTGACACACACCCTTAGTTCCTACTCTCTTTCTTTTATGTGTGTGTTACTTAAAAAAAAGCTTTATAATTTCCTAAGACAGCTGGGCACTGTAGGTTTTGCCTAAAGTTACTCAAACAGAAGGAAATAGTGAATTTATTAGGGACTATATTCTGTTGCAAATGAATAAATGCTTGATTAGTACATGCTCCAGTGAGTATTTACAGGAGCACAACGGTGTGTGTGAGACTGACTCTACATAAACGAGTGTGTTTATCATGTTAATAAACGTGTCACACTGCCCAACGATGTGGCTCACTGATGTGTTCTGGACAACAATAGAGGTTCATGGCATGGAGGGAGACTTTATTATGAGGATACACAGACAAGACTTTTTTAAATTTAATAAGAAAAAACAATTACCAAATAGAAAGCAGTTGTTGTTTTACCCATTTCATGCATTCTAGGGTCACCTGAGTTCAGTCACAGAGAATTTCCTCAGTGTATTTGATCATGAACATATTTCATCCTGGTGTAGTTTAATCTCACAGATTGTGTACCAAATGTGTAGATAACATGAACATCCGCCTGCAGGAGCATGTAAACTGTCCTGCTGCTCTCCGCTTTGCTGCTCAGTTGATAAGAGCTGCATGTGATCTTAACACTATTCGATAAAAAGTCTGTTGCAGGATGAAAAAAACAGCAGCAGCTCACTGTAATGTTTTTAGCTCTGTCGTCCTTTCGACATAAAGATGATAATCTTTACACTGTGATAACACGACAGGCAGAAACACACACAGAAAAACAAACACACACACACAGCCTGATGCAAATGCATCATCATCATCATCATCGGATGTACTTCAGCAGAAGCACAGAGATTGGAACAGAGTGGAATTTGAAACGTTTTAGCCAAAAATGTTTCCATGGTCAAGGTGTTTTTTGCAGAAACGTTTCAGATTTCGTTTTGTTCTCCAACTTCGTGGGTGAAGACAGTCAACTGGTGCCGCAGGAAATGCAACACACAAACACACACAAGCAATTCTAGCCATTTATAGAATTTGTTGCTGTAGATTTCTGACAGCAGACTCTAAGTGAAGTATTTTGGATAAGAGACTAAGTGTAGACAAACACACCTTTAGGATTCTGTCACTGTGGGAAAATCTCTACAGGCACCATCTTCTCCTGTGACCCCCTTCCCCCCTGCTGTCCCATCCCATAATACAGCCACCTGTTGTGCTCCCATGATTGATGCTTTTGTGTGGCAATTTCGCAGTTTTGAGAAATGTATAGAAAAAGGACCGCGCTTGTCCGATATGTACAGAGCACAGTTTGCTTCATGAATGACAATGTTGTTTTTGCCGTGGAAAGTGTGAAGTTAAATTCTACTGATTTTCACCTCAGCTGAAGCGTTCCAGGAGCTTTTTTAAAGGACAGCTCAAGCTTTTGTGTTAATCAATCCAACTGGATGAGCTCTCAAATAAAGGTCTTTGTGGAAAGCTGGCAGTGTGGAGGAACATAGTTTTCATCTCGCTGTGATATGTGTGTAAGCGTGTGTGTGTGTGTGTGTGTGTGTGTGTTGTGAGTGTGAAAGAGAGACAGTCACTGATTGTTGCTTGTTTTTTCTTGTTTATTGATTCTTGATGTCTTTATTATTCCACTCCATCTCTCTTTCAGTTGGGGTTCAAGCAAGCCCATCGTGCACACACACACACACACACACACACACACACACACACACACACAGAGTCTACTACCTAACAAGCTTCTCCATATCATGTGTGTAGGCCACAGGGTGTGATAGGTCCGAGACCACCTCATGTGTCGGGCCTCCTCTGTGTTTTGGTCCCCACTGACCCCCATCCTCCCAGCATCAGTGGGATGTCCCAGGTGTGTCTCCTCTTGGCCTTGCTTATGCTCTTCAGCTGCACAAAGGTATGACTCACAGCCTCTCTCTCTTTTTCACATACCGACACACACGTGTCCTTAATTTTGGATGATGGGGGGGTTGTTTCTGAAACTTAAAATGAGGATTTCTCCTCCTGCAGGTCTCCTCTACTAACTCCCTGGAGCTTGTGAAGGAGCAGTGGAACAGCTACAAAAACCAGTGCCTGGACTACCTCAACGCCACGCCCCCCGCCACAGGTGAGCCCCTCTCCTCCCAGCGTGAGCTCATGCTTGTACAAAATGCATGCAGGACAATAAAGCCTGGCCTGTTTTAAGGCAAGAGCACAGATTTCACAGATCTGCTCTCCACTGCAGGGCTGGTGTGTAACAGGACCTTTGACCAGTACGCCTGCTGGCCTGATGGTCTCCCAGGAACCACTGTCAATGTCTCCTGTCCATGGTTCCTGCCATGGCACCGAAAAGGTGCGTGTGTTATTGTAAGATAAGATAGACGCAATGCAAAAGAGTGGGAAAGAGTGCAAATCATGCAAAATATAAACTGCACTTGGTAGAGTGTGTATCTTCTTCAGGCAGCTATGGTCCAGTTGTGGCGCGGCTGCTGGAGCAGATCCTGACCACTTTAGATGGTTGAACTGTCCCTACCATATTTTTTACAGTAGAGATAGCATCGGGGAAAAAAAGAGCTTTTTTCATCTTGTATCATGTTGTACTTCAGTGGATCATAACCTATCTGGTATGGGATAAAGCTGCAGATGCTGCGCTTCAAAATGAGATCAAACTTTTCTTTCTTTTTTCCATTTTGATTTCGCTGACTACATCAAGGCACTAAATCCAACTTGTATTGCGTTAGTGATAAGCAATATGACAACGTGGTGAACATAATAGTTTGTCTGTTTATAAACAGACTAACAGAGCCACTACTGTCTGACAGGCCGTGTGCAATTTACTGCCAAGCCGAGGCCGGCAACATGAAGGAGATCAAATTTCAGTCGAGATGGGAGGCGAGACAAGCGGCGCACATTGTGTTTGTTTATGGGAATCACCACAACCACATGAGGTCCTTGAGCATACGGTCGTAAATGTGCGCTCAAAATCTGAGGCTGATTGGTCCAGTTGTGTGCGAGATGAGCTGCAGGCAGACGAATAGACAGACTCACACATGCATGACCAAACACATGATCCCTTTAAGGCTTTCTCCTGACATAACATTATAGATTATCAGAGAAGTGCAAAAAGTCAGCATACACAATGCCTCAAATGTGAACAAGTTAACAGAAAGTGTTAAAATATAACAATAAAATATGTCTTGAATTGAATTTAGTAATTCCAAGAGCGGTGTGCAGGAAGTATCTTCTTTTTCAAGCTAGAGCTCCTCAACACACCTGCATGAGAAGTTCAGTGAGACCTTTGAAGCATCTCTAGTGTAGGTAGTGCTTGTTCCGCTTGTTGACTTGAAGCACTGATGCAAGTTATGAATGCAAGGACACAGCGTCCATTGAGTGACATGATGTGAGAGTACAACTTTGGAGGAAGAGCTCTTCATGGCCTCTTTTTTTAAAGTCATTCAGTGGAGTGAATAGAAAATGCTTCACACTTGCAACACAGCTCTTCATACAGTATGTCCTTGTCATTCGGTGGGATGAAAGAAATCAAATAGCTACTGTAGTGAATAGTGTGTGTAGTGGTTACAAAGAGTGGATGAAGCACTAAGTGAGTGTGAAGGCCAAATATTAGTCAGCTATCACCCGACTGCCAACCAGGGAGTCAAGATTTCACACGGTGTACCAGGGAGCAGCATCCTGTGGAGCTTTCTGATCTTTCTTGGTGTGCAGGCTCACGTCTCAGATTAACTTCATACAGTAGCATAAAGGGCCCAGCTATGATCTGCACCTTTAATGTAGAGTTAGTTACTCCTAAGTTCAAGCTTCCCTCAGTGAGCTTGTGTCTTTTTGTTATATCCTGGTCCAGCTGTTAAGCTTATGTGTTCTTCATTTCAGTTTTTTCATGTATTATTTCCTGTTTTCTTATGTAACTCACTTGTGGCTCTCATCTCCGATACCTTACTTCCTGCTCTTGTGTAATTACCTTTCCTGCCCTGATATGTTTTACCTGTCCCTCATTGCCCTGTCTCCCTTGTGTATTCAGTCTATCATCCCTTTTGTCTGTGCCAGTTCATCCTTGCTGTTTGCTCGTCAGCGTTCCAGCAGTTTTCATTGTGTGTTTCATTGTTTTGTTTGACCTATTTTCTGTATTCTGACTTCGTCTGTTACCTAGTGTTTTTGGATACCTTTGCCTTTTGATTTTTGACTCCTGTGCACTGAATCCTGATTTCTGCAAGTGAAGACTTAGCCTTTTCACTGTGTGCTTGAGTCGAACTTTTGCGTCCTTCAACCATTGTTTGCCAGGATTTCGTCACACTATTATTTCCTGTGAACTGGCAGAGAGGGGAGAGAGCCAAACCACATCTTCCGCCTCTGCTTTTGCTCTGCGTCTTTGGATTTGTCATACAAAAAAAAAAAAAATTTCAAGATGTTTAGCAGAATTGAAGATCAGTTTGGGATCTAGGAATATGTGATGGACATTTATTTAACATTTATTTACGATTTACTGACAAAATGGTTAACCAGTTCAAGAAAACCATTTGCAGATTAATCAGTGAGACCATAGTTGCAGCCATACAGACTCCACAGATGGTGATTTAATCGCCCTGTACAGGCTGTCAGTTTGGTTGAAAAATGTAAAAACAAAATACCATTGTCTGTGTTAATTGGAGCACTTAATGCTGAACATTTAACTTTGGCCCAACGACATCTTGAAAATAAGGTAATATGTTTAGCTGGGGATTCGTATTTGTTTTGTGTTATTAATATTTTGAACAGGTCAGTTTTAACTGCAGCACAATAAAATAGTAAAATGAAACAAGGCATTTGTTTGCTGATCCTTTACAGTCTTAAAATCTTAAGGAATAGTTTGACATTCTGGTAAATACCAGGATTCGCTTTCTTCCTGAGAATTAGAGAGGATTAATACCACTCTTGTGTCAGTAGGGTTAAAAGCTGGTACAGCTGGCATGAGCTTAGCATAAAGACTGGAAACAAGGGGAATGAACTAAACATGTTCTGTTCATTGGTTATAAAATCCACCTCCCAGGTTAGCTGTTACCCCCTTTTTTCTGGTCTTCATGCTAAACTAACCAAATTTAGCTAACCTGGCCTCATATTTACTTATTGCAATTTTCTTAACTCTCAAAAAGAAACTGGATAAGTTCATTCCTCAAAATGTCTAATTATTATTTAACTCAAGGTCTACTTACTATTTTGTGGAGCTTTCAGCCACGCAGTTTTCCTGTGCAGGTGACGTTTGCTCATGTGACAAAGTTCTATACTTAAGTCAAGTGATGGCAACTCAACTATTGCCTTGACCTAGCAACAACTTCATCTGTTGAGGAAGACTGAAAGATGAGGCTGAATTCCCCAGAAAATAGTCAGTAAATGAATGTTTTCCAAAGTCAAGAATTCATTTTAATAATTGACCATTTCCATTTGTTTAAGAAAAGATGTCACTACATATATTTTTTAATGAAGACTTCTAAGCAGTGGGGGGTACACTTGTAACATGTGTCTCTGTGTGAACAGTTCAGCAGGGTTTGGTCTACAGAGTCTGCAATGAAGATGGTCAGTGGGCACAAAAGAATACCAGCGAATGTGAGAACGACCCTGGTGAGGTGTGTGTATACAGCACAGTGTGTTGTGTTTGTGTGTGGGTCACTCCAGTTAGCATACTTGAAGCTGCCTGCAGTGGCAGATGGTTAGATGATATTTTGACTGTGACTGACTTGACAACTTGACACGATCTAAAATGACTCTGTGTGTTAATATTTTTTTTCGTCTGTTCAAATGCTCTTTCTGACCTTTTTTACACCTTCTGTGCCGAATTTTATCTGCACTGTGTGCGTGGGTGTGGGTGGATGGGTGGGTGTGCGTGAAGGCAATGCAAGGAAGTAACTGACTTCGTCTCTTCTCTTGGTTCTGCAGCAGCAGTACGGCCGCATCCTCAATCAGTTACGGATCATGTATACAGTGGGCTACTCACTCTCCCTGGGAGCTCTGCTACTGGCCTTGGGAATCCTCATCACCTTCAGGTACAACATGTACAAGGAATAAACAGGGGAGGGAGGAGGGAGGCATAGGTAGATGCATGAAAAGAGAAAAGGAAAGGAAAAAACTGAAGAAGGCAGGAAGAAATAAAGGAAGGAAAGGAAAGTGGGTAAAGTGATGAATGAAATCAGGGAACAATAATACAAGGAAGGAAGCAGGAGGGAAGAACGATGGAAAAAAGAGGGAACTAAGGAAAGGAGTAGATGAAGAGGGGAGAAAGGAAGATGAAAAGGAGGGGGTTGTGAGAGAGAGATAAGAACAGACAGAACAAAGGGGAAGAAAAAGAAGCAGTGAATGAAGGGGAGAAAAGGTTGGGGAGATGAAGGAGGGAACCAAGGAAGGAAATGAAATCAGGAAAAAGCAGAGGGAAAAAGGTGGGAAAGAAAAATAAGGAATGAAGGAAAGATGGATGGAAGGAGAAACTCAAAAAGGCAAAATGTAAACAACAAAAAAGAAAGAAAGAAATATAATAATAATGCATAGGACATCCAATAAGCAAGGACTGGAAAATCATTTTAGTAATTTTCCTGTATGCTAGCTCATGTATACAACATATAGTATCGTGTTGTTGTTACACCATTACTGAAAAAGAACAATTTAGACCCATCCATAATTAGCAATTACAGACCAATCTCCAATATTCTCTTTCTTAGCAAAATACTTGAAAAGGTACATTACATTGCTACCTCTCACTCCATAACCCGTATGATGTGTATCAATCTGGCTTTAGAACCAACCACAAGCCTGACACAGCACTTATCAAAGTAATAAATGATGTAAAGTTTAACAGAACAGCTAACAAACTCTCCGTCCTAGTCTTATTAGACCCGACTGTGGCTTGCGACACCGTCGATTACATCATTTTGTTAAATAGAAATGTCATTACCTGTCTCTCCTCCTATTTAATCAGCAGGACATTCTCCACCCCCCCTTGGCAACCACAAATCTGGCAATTTCGATATCTGCTGTGGGGTCCCACAAGGCTCAGTCCTGGGTCCATTATTGTTTATCCTTTATATGCTGCCACTTGGTTCCATCATACAGACACATGTATCTTACCATTCATATGCAGATGATACACAATTGTATATTTCACTTTCTCATAATAACCTCAGCCCCATAAGTGACCTGGTTAACTGCATCAGTGACATTAACATCTGGATGACCAACAACTTTCTACAATTAATCAAAGACAAAACGGAGATTCTTCTGGTGGGTGCCAAACATCAGAAGGAGGAGATCAAGTCTAAACTGATTTAACTGTCTCTTAAACCCAGTGGGCAGGTCAGAAATGTAGGTGTTGTCATGGAGCCAGAACTCAACTTCACAAGCCATGTTTCAAGTATAACAAGGACAGCCTTTTACCACCTAAAAAACATATCCAAAGTAAGATCCATCCTGTCTCAGTCAGAAGCTGAAAACCTGGTTCATGCTCTCACCTCCAGACTAGATTACTATAATGCCCTTCTTGCCGAACTCCCTAAAAAGACTGTAGGATGGCTCCAACGTATTCGAAATGCTGCTGCCAGAGTCGTCACTGGGACTAGAAAAACAAAACATATTACTACCATACTCAAAACACTTGCTTGCTGGCTTCCGATAAAATACATAATTTATTTTAAAATACTCCTCAGTGTGGACAAAGCACTTAATGGACTGGCTCCTCAATATATCTCTGACCAGCTCACTGCCTACATACCCCCCAGAACCCTCAGATCATTAGACACTGATCTCTCTAACTGTGCCCATGATCCAAAATAAATTTGTTAAAGGTGCATTCAGTCATTAAAGCCCCACTCTATGGAACATACTGCCTGGTGATCTGAGATTCCCCGCAACTGTGTCATCCTTTAAAGTCAAGCTTAAGACCTACCTGTTCTCCCAGGCCTATGAATAGCTAGTTCCTCTACCTGTCTATTTGTCTCTCTAGTGCTCTCTTTTGGGGATGTATGATTTAATCTGTTTTTATTTACACATGTTGTGTGTCAAAGCGCATTGAGATTACTTTGTATGAAATGTGCCATGAAGTCAAGAGCCATCTCACACTGTCACCTCTGCACCAGGAAGCTCCACTGTATGAGGAACAACATCCACATGAACCTCTTTGCCTCCTTCATCCTGAGAGCCGTGTCCATCCTGGTCAAAGATGCCCTACTGACCCTCACACTGAATCCCAGGAGCAGCAGTGACACCCACACACAAGCCTGGATCAACATACCGGTCAGAGCAAACACACCACACCAGCCTCTTCTGCTATGAACTGTGCGGCTGTTTAACACGAGAGAAACAAGGGACACACTCACCGCAGTGTATGAACATCAAACTACTTCCTGCACTGTCAATGGGACATCAAAGTTGAATGCAACATAGTGCGCATGAAAGTAATAGTTATAATGAGACATAGTGTTGCGCCACATTCAGAGGCTCTTCTATTTTTGTTTTGGCAAATGTTTCACAATCCTTTTTGGACATCCCAGTAATTCAGTATAGTTTTTAAAACTCTGCACAAACATAACTTCATAGGGTGCTGATTAGATATTGATTGGGTGTGTCCACACACATCAAATCTGTAATAAACTGAACAATCTATTCTACCAAATATAATTTGCTGAGCCACTCTATCAATAATTCATGTTTTGACCAAGTGTCATTTCCTGGAAATAAATCTTATGAATGAGAATACGTCTACTGAAAATGTTGCATATCATCATCAGTTCATGAAGAAGACATCAAAAGTTGTGAAAGAGAAATGTTTGATGCCGGGAGATTTGTAGATTTCTTCCATCTACACTTGCTCCTTTCTTGCTAAGCTGCTTTACATTTGCATTGGAGGAATATACAGTATATCTCATATATAATGGTATAAATGGCATTTTGTCTGCATCAATCCACATTAAGTATCAGCAATAGGCAACTAAAAATGTACCATAAATGGGATTTATTGCTTTTGTGCCAAGGTGCACGAGACGTTGTGAATGTATTTACAGTTGTGTTGTAACTTCAACTGCTGTGAAGGATTGCGAGCAAAGAGAAAAATATATGTGGATGCCAAAATCAAACAGTTTATGTGAAGGACAGCTGCACTCGATTTCTGAACTGCTGTTTTAAACCAAGATCTAAGCATAATATTTTGCTGCAGTCTGACTCAGAGTTGATTCAGCTGAGCTGAAGCAGTATTATTTTCAGCCATGATCCCTATGGATCTCTGATTTAGGGCTTTCTACAGTACAATGCAAAAGTGCGGTACGGGAATACAGATCATGTGATCACATGATAACTATGCACACCGGCTCCAGTGCAAATTATTCGTATTGCATTGTTCAATTTTGTCAAAAATAAATAAATAAGTAAAATGTATTAAATGAATAACATGAATGAGTTTTCTCTTAAATAGTGCCTGTATCCACTCAACACAACAAAAATCTAGACTGACAGAGAATGTCTAAGGAGCTAACATCAACTACATAACACATAAACTAATTCAACTCCAGATTTGATGCTAAGGCTAGCTGTTGTGGCCAACCCTGTTCCGTGACTAACACATAACGTTAGCAAGTCAGCTACATATATTGTCCTTTATTTGGTTGTTGATGTAGTCGTCAGGGTGCTTGTTGTACAATACTTGTGGTGTGTCTCAAATCACATACTTCCGTTAGTACACTTCCATGTAGTATACTATGTGCACTATGTACTCATTGGTGTAGTGCACGAATTTCGACAGGGTAGTGTAGGCTGACTAAACGTCCTCTTTTGCCCGGACATGTCCACTTTTCACGTCCTGTCTGGGGCGTCCGGGAGGTGTTTATAAATTGATGATAATGTCCGGTTTTCCTTGTGTGTGCGTGTGTGTTAGAGTGCCGCACGGCCGCATATTTCTGTCCGAACCCAACAATCATTCTGTTTTGTTATGTCCGAAACCGAATCGAGCCCGACATTATTTAATTACTAAAGCACTGAGTTTGTGTCACACAGTTGTTATGGTTACAGGCTATTTAACAGGCCGGGCGTGCTCAGCGGAGAGGGGAGAGGGAGACCTCCGTGTTTGAGACAGGAGCGGGTGGCGGGAGGTCCGAGGCTTCCAGCGAGGGTAGGGGGAGAAATATAACAAAATACGATAAAATAGCAAAAACCTGTCTCCCTCTTTTATTTTATTTTCAGCGTTTAATCAAGGCGGAGGCGGACAGCGGAAGGTCCAAGGCTTCCAGCGAGAGGAGAGGGAGAAATAAAACAAAATGAAATAAAATAGGAAAAACATGTCTCCCTCTTTTATTTTATTTTCAGCGTTTAATCAAGGCGGAGGCGGACAGCGGAAGGTCCGAGGCTTCCAGCGAGAGGAGAGGGAGAAATAAAACAAAATAAGATAAAATAGGAAAAACCTGTCTCCCTCTTTTATTTTATTTAGCAAACTAGCATTAGCATTCGCGTTATTGTTTGCGGTACCAAATCATTACAGACTGCTGCATTAACCTAAAAAACATACTGCTGGCTTATACCCAACAACAGTATAGTGGTGCTTAGTGCAAAAAATACATGTATTTGTACAATGCAGTCCTCAGCCGCCATTTCCAGTTTGAAAAGTGGTCCCTCCCATTCCACTACGTAGCCAAGATGGCGACTATTGAGTGCGAGAAGTGTCCATAGTTCCACACTCAACTTCTTATCCGTTTTGAGTGCACCATCCGGGTACTCTCAGTGTGAACGCACTATGCACTCAAAATATTAAGTTTAAGTACAGAAGTACGCAATTTGAGACACAGCATTCTTGTTAAGAAACCAAATTGGTAAGACGTTCCTCCATTTTGTCAGAAAGCTATTTCTGACCCGGAGGTGTTACATCAGTAGGAACAAAGGATTTCCCTTAAAATCAAGGTCTTCAAAAATATTTTTTCCTCCACATGAACGATCCACAGTGGTGTGCAAGCATTCAGAAGAATCCACAAAATCAATTTTTATGAATCTCTGTGCAACTTTTTCAGCATAAATCCATACCTTGTGTGAAACTGCTTTTAAAGTGACTTTGTTGACTGTTTTTATTGTGTGTCAGGCTGTTACTTGGTGTCGTGGTGCCATGGTGATGATGCAGTACAGCGTGATGGCCAACAACTATTGGCTGTTGGTGGAAGGCATCTACCTGCACAGCCTGCTAGTCATCACCGTGTTCAGCGAGAGGAAGTACTTCTACATTTACCTGTCCATTGGCTGGGGTAAGAACCACAGCTGTTACACAGTGACTGACGGACTATTACAGAAGCTGTATTTGTCGTCTTTTCCGACAGATATTAGTCAGCTTAGTGAGAAGAGTAAACAGGACTGTGACCCAAAGGCAGTGTTCAGATAAATCAAACACACTCTGTCTGTTGTTAACAAGAACACAGTCATCAGCAACAGGAAGTCAGTCAGGTACAGAAATGGTTAACAGGTATGTAAATAGACTACAGAGCAGCTGTGTGCACAGGTGACTGCTCTCAGAATGAGTCAGGTAACACTAATCAAAATCTCTGAGGGCATCTAGTGGACAGGTGTGGTATGACAGGCTTTGAAATGATAACACACTGTCAAACACAGAGACTACTGTTTAGAGTGACAAGCAGAGACAGGGAAGGTGAGACATGGTGCAGGTATCACTGCAGAATCAGAGATATTGTCTCTTTTATAGACTACTGTTTATTTACACTAACTTCCAGGTGGAAAGCCCCTGCGTCATCTGCATAAAATGTAACGACGTTGAGCAAACACTGCCTCAACTGGTTGTTTTTTTTGGCCCACCAAAAAAAAAAATCAGTATCATTTTAAGTGTAGGCTATATTTAGAATATTTTCACTGCTTTACCTTGCCATCAGACAGCCCTTTCTGATGGGGGAATGAAGCCATTCTCTCATAGACTCACAAGTCAGTCTTTAGACGCTTTGCTTAACTAAAGCCTGATGACTTTCTCCCTGATTTTGTGTTTAGATGGGCGGATACAATTTCAGAGTTTAAAAAAACTCCTTACGTTGCAGAACCAATAGTAAATCTGCAGGGCTGTCCTTCGGTGGCTCGCTGAACTCTTGTGTTTGTAAACATAGTCCCACTAGAAACACGTGTAGCGGTACAAAATGGCTCAGCCGTGCTTGCAGAAAACGCCGTCAAAGTTCAGTGGATGTTTGTCGCGTTTGCGGCGACACATTCTCACCAACTAAAAGAAACAAACATAATCTTTTACAAGGCCATGACTCATCCGTCCGGCCGGACTATAACAAATCGGGAGTCGCCTTGTTGTTTACAAATACTTCCGGGTAGAAAACCAGCAGAGCTTTTAGCTATATATATAACGTTAGCCTATATATCACATTTTTCACATCACTGTATCACCGTTTGGACTAATCCGATGTTTGTAAAGTCTATAAACACAATGATTGAACAAACATTACTATTTCTGTGTGCACGTTTAGCTGGGCTAACCATTATCAGTGTCTGTAATAGGTAATAACTCATTAAACGGTCCGTGAAAAAAATATCTTTTCCAGCGGATATCTTAGTTACAACATGATTGAGCTAGCAAAGCAGTTTTGTGTTGCTATGTGTGGTATTTATTCAGTTTTAGGAAATCACAATGTCTAGAAAGCATCAGTGGCTGCAGCTGACAGGGACAGCTAACAGCAGCAGCAAAGGTAACAGGACGTCATCTGTTAAAAGCCTCCCGTTGTCAGATACGACATGAAACTACTCCACTTAGCTCAATCATGTTGTAACTAAGACATCCGCTGGAAAAAATAATTTCTTCACGGATGAGTACACGTTTGATAAAATGGAGTTTAATCTCTCGGCATCCATTTTCAAGCTCTCTGTTTGTTTCCTTGCGGACGAGAAAAGGAGGAGTGCACATTTCCGAGAAGGCGTGTCCTTTTCAAAAATGCAAGAGGCATTGCTTTGTTGCCGGCCGTTTTCGCCGGTGTGTTAAACACACTTTAGAAAGGAGTGTCCCCAGACTATCAGAAGGCGGAGATCTCTGATTGTCTGGTGGCGAGACTATTCTCTCAAAGCCACCAGACTCTATTTACAAAGATCTTAATTTTACTTTGCAGAACATTAGAGTTGCTCTATTGCTACATTCATCAGTTAATGTGTGTGGTAAAATTGTGAAAGTATTCCAAATATACCTCCAGCGGGAGGCAGAAACACCCCCAGCCTCCTGCTGGTTGGGTAAAGTGTTTTGGGCACATCCCACTGGTAGGAGGCCCTGGGGCAGACCCAGAACATGCTGAAGGGATTACATCTCATCTAGCCTGGGAACTGCTTGGGGTCCCCCAGGAGGAGCTGGAAAATGTTGCTATGGAGAGGGATGTCTGGGGTGCTTTACTTGGCCTGCTGCCCCAACGACCTGGCCCTGGATAAGCTGATGAAAATGGATGGATGGATGGATATTCCAAATATAGTGTACACTTATACTGATATTGATTTTTTTCGGTGGCTAAAATACGCTTTGCTGCAGCTTCCATCCACAACATTATATTACTTAACTTCCATGCTGGTAGATTTGGTTTATCAAAGACCCTGGCAAAGCAACAAAATGCATAAAGTAAGCACAGCAGAGATGTCAGATAGGTCAGACCACTTGTTTTAACTATATATCTCTAAACGTTACAGTTACACCTGAAAATGACGACAGAAATGAATAAGTTTACCGCTTTCACATACCTTGCCAGTTGTCTACCTGGAAGGAACTATTGTTTTTGTTAGCACGACCTCATGGTGATATGGTCTATCTCACACATGCTTCTTCCCTGTCAAACCCTGGTGACTACATTTCCAACAATGCAACTCAACCCCCAACAGTTTAGTCAGGGATTTGCTTGTGTTATGCGAGTAGAAGCTAATGTAGCCTCCAACTAGCCTCAAGGTGAGATAAGAGGCAGACTACAGAGGTCTGGTAAGTTTGCACGTTTCTAATTCCACATGTATTTCATTTTCAAACTCAAAATCTTCAGACCCAACCACTGCTGACACAAGTGACATCAGATCTCACATCTCTCTCTGGAGTCAGTGAAGACTTTTAACTTTTTTTCCCCCTACTCTGCAGTAGCACTCCCTGAGAACTGTAAACAGACATGATTTATATACGATCTGTGGAATTCCCATTTAAGGTGAAGACTGTGGGATATGTAATACAATATCATAGAAATATGAGAGTGCATGTGCTTTGCTACACATGACTAAACATCTAAAAATGTAAGCAGTTGTTAATCTTCAGCTAAATATATGACTATTAATGACTTCTGTGATGCTCATATTAAGTCTCCAGCAAGCTTTTCTGAGATAACAATATAATTATATAGTTATCTTTGGATCCTCACTGAGCGGAGATAACAAACCATGGTCTTGCCACAATATAAACTGGATTGTCCAATTGATGTTAGTGAGTCACTGCAGCCTGACAGGACAGATAATGTCCGATGAAGAGACCAACCGTTCAAAAACAGATTAGATTTTGCGTCACAGAGGCAGACATTTTCATTTCTAGAGACCTTTCAAGTCTTCATTGTTGCAGAGAATAGAAATATTGGTTTTGAGATAATGAGATTTTAAACTCATCATCATAAATAATGCTAAATAATACAAATCATGATAACTGGGTTTAAAGAGTAAACACAGGGCGAACTGTAATTTGATATACATATTAGCTGTGTGTACTAAAAATTAAGTTTTGTAGTGAATGATCTACCAGGGGCATCTATGATGTCATCAGTAACCTGGTAAAATTACAACAGTCTGAACAGCTTTATGTCCAATAAAGTTTTCCTCTGTTCACTTTCACTTTTTGCCTCTGTCGCTCTCAGGTGCACCGCTCATATTCGTGTTGCCATGGATCACAGTCAAATATCTGTATGAGAACGAGGAGTAAGTGGCTTTTCACAATATTGTCACATCAAATGAAAGGTTTAGATGCTTTTATCTGTGATCTGTGAGATAGTATGAATATGTACAGACTCTTTGGATACAGACAAAAAAAATAAGAATCACAATAACAGCAAATGTAACAATGTAAAATGTGTGTAGGTGCTGGGAGAGGAACATTAACATGGGCTACTGGTGGATCATTCGTTCTCCTATACTGTTTGCTTATCTGGTAAGACTGTCTATATCTGTTTGTTTCATACCCTCATATTCTCTGTCTGGCTGTTTACAATTGAACATTGTGATGAAGGAAATTCATGTCCAGAGTGTGCTGGCATGTGATTGAGCTACAGAGGCACACAAACACACAGCAGCTGACATTCACCCACTGTGTTTTGGCAGATGTTGCTGTGAATAGAGATGTACCAAATGCTCTGGGTCTTTGACAGTGTGTTGATCAGGCAGATGTTGGAAGTAGGAGTGGAGTATAACACTGAATTGCCTCAGAATTACGCCTCGTTTCCTGTACATTAGTAACATTATGATCTCTCCTTGCTGAGCACTTTAGATTATGTGGACAGAGTGCCACTCTGTGTGGTCAAGTGTAGCTTCTAACTATGATTTTATGGAGTAAAAATTAATAAAACCAGCCAGATGTTCAGTGAAGTGTTTAAACTAATTTTAGGTCTCCTGGGGAAGACAGAGTGTGACATGACTCTTTTCCAGACTCTTACTGCAGTGCACTGTGCTCTAATACAGCAATAAAGTACTTGTAATTTTAGTCCAACACACAAATTTGCAGTTAAAGAGGCAATCTCATAGATTCAGTCGTGGTTAATTTGGGGACACTTGATGCTGGTGGTAATAAATGTGGTTTAACACAACAGGTAACAGAGTTCAGCAAAACAAACTATTGTCTTTTTTAATAACGAAGTCAGGCAATAATGGGTCGTTTTTCATCATTCTGTGAGCAATCGTGATCTGATTTTTCTGCTGCACACAGCACGAGTCTGCAGACAGCAGGGCACAGTGAAAGGAGGTGGTTATCTGGCAAAGTTGGAGGTGTGCAGCTTGTCGCCTGCAGCTCCTCATCCAACAGCTCACTGTGGCTGCTCCTGACTTTCCCATTACTTGCGGCAATATTTCAAACTGATCCGCTGTCAACACATAGCAAAATAAATAAAAATAAAAAATGACTCCTGTTTTGTGGACACATTTATGATGAATGATAGTGGTGTTAAGCTCACTGAAAAACACATTTCATTTCCTGTGACTACTCCATTATAGTAAAAGACAACTTTAATGTGAAGCTGCAGCAGCAGGAAATGCTTGGTTTACATTAGCAGTAACTTCACACAGCTTTTTATCTGCAGATGTCGCCCTTGACACCCAGTGCATAATGCAAATATAAAAATATCGCAATACAATCATAAGTTGGCCGTAGGCTCAATCACCAATGTGTTACCTCATTTGGCGATAAGTACTGACTTAGCAGACATTTATTTAGATGAAAAGCTTGAAGATTATTACTTTAAAGGTATAGCATGTAACATTTAGTGGCATCTAGTGGTGAGGTTGCAGATTGCAGCGACTGAAACTTCTCCCATGTATCTCATTCTTAGGAAACAAAAGCACATTGATTCTTAGTTTCAGGTTATTATACACTGATGAAAACATTGTTATGAATATTACATATTCTGCTAACTGGTCTTTTCAAGTCACTGATTCGGTTTACAAATAAAGCAGAAAAAATGTGTTTGGGAGCATGCATCCCTTTTTTGTAGCAGTAATTTCAATACAGATTTTTGCATACATTTAAAGCAAATTTTCCTTGTTTTATTAAACAGTTAGAGGTCTGTGGAAATAAAACTACCAAGATTAAATTGACAGTAAGTCTGACAAAACTATTTTATGAGCCAGAAATCTGTTTTGCTGTTGTCCTATCTTGTTAACATCTTGTGACCTCTCAGATTTATCCTGCGGCCTCTTGTAGGGGTCAAGAGAAATAAAAACACCTTCACAGATAAAACTTGTAACAGCTTCATGACGGTGAGAATCAAATTTGACTCCAGAAACTGAAATCAAATGAATTCATAAAATTCCCAAAGATGCTTAGTCTTAATTGGATGATTAACATATAGTTTGTAGCTAGATTGTTTTTTATATAGGCTCTTTGGTGTTCTTGCACTCTGACGTGCAAACCACTACCAACTACTGACACACACACATACAGACACACACACACAGAATTAAGTTGTGGAATTCCTCTTGTGTGTTTCCTGCCCCTTGTTCCCATAGAGACAAACATCATTATGGATGGGCACACTTATGAGCACAAGTGCACATTAACAGTAACAGCAGCAACCTTTGTGACCTCATGCAAAAGCATACGTGTGCACACACAGACACTGTGGAATATTCAGACACTCGTATGTTTCCTGGACTGTGGAAGTTGTACAGTATGCACTCTGTGGAAAAAGTCTCTTAATTGTAATCTCTGAAATAGTTGCCGTACAGTTGTCTAACGTCATATGTTATCCTCCAGCAGTTCCAAACACAACCCAAACTATTGTTCACACACACGTATTCGCACCTAAATAAAGTGTGTTTGTGGTGCACTCAAACACACACACACATTCACACAAACACATCTGTCAAGACAACATACACATGTTACCAAATTTGGAGCCCTAATAACTTGAGTGCTGTAATAATTAATGTTCTCTGTCATTGGAGAGGGTCTGCACTACATCACAGTGTGTGTGTGTGTGTGTGTGTGTGTGTGTGTGTGTGTGTGTGTGGCCAGTTCACATCCCACAGAGCACAAAAAACATTTTCTGTGGTCTTTGTCTCTCTCTTACACATGATGTCATTTAAAAAGCTACAGAATGTGTTTTGTATGTATATTTGTTTGCATCATTTAACCCCCCCCCTCTTCTTACTTCAGATTAACTTCTTCATATTCATACGAATTATCAAAATCCTGATGTCTAAACTCAGAGCTCATCAGATGAGATACACGGACTACAAGTTCAGGTGAGTCATACTTCAGTCTTACATCTTGAATAATAAAGGTTGTGACCATGTAAAATGCAAAGTGAGTAACCTTTCTGAGTTTTCTTCTTATATAATCCCATTTCCTTTTTCCTCCTCTGTTCCAGATTAGCAAAATCCACTCTCACTCTCATTCCTCTGCTTGGGATTCACGCCATCCTCTTCACCTTTGTCATCGACGAGTACGTCCCTAAAGGCTCCATGCTGCGCCTTATTCGCCTCTTCTTTGACCTGCTGTTCAACTCTTTCCAGGTCAGAGCTCATCGGCACATGACCTGAACTTGTATTTCTCTGGGTTTTCTCTCTGAATGTCTTTTCTGAGGCACACACGGACATATATAAGCTCTTTTATGTTTCTTTAAATGTAATTTGACTCTAATACTCAGTATTTCTTTTTGAAAATCTATAATTTATATTATATATATATAAAATGAAACTTCTTTGTTGTTTGCTGCTACATTAATGCTCTGAATACTGCTGAATCACATACAGCTCCTTTAAATATTCTGAGCTGTGTCCTTTAAGAACAAGTAAAAACTGCGTAACATTAGTTTCTTTTCTGGTGTCTGAAACGACTGAAACGTTAAAACTCCACCTTCTGTTTCAGGGCTTGCTGGTTGCCATCCTGTACTGCTTTGTCAACAAAGAGGTGAGACTGATGTGCTTTCATGTCGAGTACAACCTTAATTTAATCTCTGCCATTGCTGCAGTTCCTTCCTTTCCCCGTCCAGAGAAGATAAATCAGACATTTTTCTTCATCAGTGTTCTTGTGGCCAGCCTTTATCAGCCCTTTTATATCACTGAAAGCTGCATCTTTGTTCAAGTTCCACTTCATTCCTTTGTCTACAAAGTGGGACAGACACATCATCCATCTGCTAATCTCTAAACTTTTAGTCTTTGGCAAAACAGCATGTTCACTTAATGAAGTGCTCGGTGTGTTATTTTATCTTCATCACAAATCTTCGCGTGTCTGTCCTCTATGTGCTCTCCCTGCTGTCGCATCATCCCTCAGGTGCAGTCTGAGATGCTGAAAAAGTGGAAGAGGTGGAAGCTGGGTAAGGACATCGATGAGGAGTACCGCCACACCCACAGCCACACGCCACACGTCAAGAGTGGCAGCATCGCCACAGGCAATCTGCCCTATCTTCACGATAACAATGCTAGCGACCCCGGCGGTGACTCGCCCCGCCTCAACAAAGCCGACAGAGAACCCTCCTGCTCTGCCGCACCTGAGGAGAACCGCCGACTAGTTGTTTCCTACAGCAACGGGACGGGGAAAGGCGGGGCTGCCAAGAGCAGACACACCCTGCAGTTCTCTTTCCTGCCACACAGAGGCGCTGGGATTCACGTGAGCACTACCACAGAGGACGTGTGTTTGGAGGAGAAGGGGCAGTGCCGCTCACACTCTCTGGAAGGAGAGGAGACTAATGTCTGAGGACAACCTCCAGTTTTTGTCATGAAACCCTCACTGACTGCGCTTATCGTTGTTTCGGATCAGTGTTTATTATGCGCAAACAAGACAGCCTGAGTGGGGAGGGATCGAGGACATAACCCACACAGATCAGGATGTTTTAACCTACACAGCTGCAAATTAGTATTTATTGGTTTTGGGACCTTGAGCGAAAAAGCACTTATTGACTTCAGACATCAGAAATGGTAAAATAAATTAAAGAGGAACTCTAGTGGTGTCCAGTGCCATGTGAGTGTGTGTGTGTTTGTGTGAGTATGTGTGTGTCCGTATGGAGGACTGCCATTTTGACACCGACCCTGCTCTCATTTTTCCATCTGTACCGCTGCTGTCGTTGTGAGTCATGCTTCTGTGTCTGTTTGCAGCAATGGGTGGTCATTTTTTTGTGGTACTCTCCGACAGAAACCTCTCGAAAGTGTCAATTTTTTTTTCCTTTTTGGTTTCATGAAACTGAATGTGGACTTCAGCATGGCTGATTCGTGACGTCTGGATCATTTAAGGATGAAGGGAGAGATTCACTGGAGAGCGCAGACTCTTATCACGCACGCTGAGGCAGAGGATGGAAGCTTTGATCTTCAGACAGACTATAATATTTAACTTATTCTGGATTTAAATGACCAAAGCCAAACAAGAAAATAAGAGCTTGCAATGATAGGATTTACTTCAAGTGGGTAAACCAGCCATCAAACCCACTCATGCACATTCCTTTCCTCCTTTTTGTCTATAATAACCCGTCCATTGCCTTTTTGAACAGATTTTCCTGAATGTATCAACTTTTGAGAAATATGGGTGAAACAATATTTAAGTGTATATATGTAATTAGAAATATGCCCACAGCACCTGCAGTCATCCAGTGAGAAGACTCTATTTGAATTCTTGCTTTGTTCTCATGCACCCTCAGAGTAAACATCAATACCTGGCACACTTTAAGGTAATTGAATGAAAAGCAATTTGTCAGTCTGCTCCAATCATCGTCCACACAGCCTCACATTATCAGTTATACAGTATTCCGTAGAGTGGAGGCAAAGGCAGAACATGAAGTTGTTTTATGCACAAAAGTCCTTTTTTGTGCTGGAAATGTTTTTCATTTCATAACACAACGAGTCATTGTGCTTTGTTGAAAAAAACACCACATTATACATTTATTATACATTTGTTTTGATCTGTCTTTTCTTCTGCAGATCAAGGATCAAGGCTCATACTTCATGACGCCGAAAGCAAAATGTGCCACACAGAACCACTTTTATAATTCTGGATTAAGAAAGTCCAGTTCAGAAATGAACTGGATTTAAAGGTCCAGTGTGTAGGATTTAAGGGGATATATTTGCAGGAATGGAATATAATTTAATAAGTGTGTTTTCTTGTGTATAATATAATCAGCTGAAAATAAAAATCACAGTGTTTTTGTTACCTCAGAATGAGCTGTTTATTTAGTGAATGGATCTTCGTCTATGGGGTCCGCCATGTTGCTCCAATGGGTTTCTACAGTAGCCCTGAATGAACAAACCAAACGCTGGCTCTAGACAGTCCTATTCGTATTTTTGCGCTGGCCACTGTAGTTAGCAGTTTAACCTCAGTGAAAGTGTCAGTAGAACACTGGGGATTTTTATGTGAAACTGCTTTATTCATTGTTTTTACAGCATCAAAGAAACACTGATTTGTAACATGAAACTGCTTTAATCAGTGTCTTCATCGGTGTAAATCACCAGGGGCCATATTCACAAACATTCTGAGAATACTCTCAGAGAGCTCCTAACTCGGCCTAAAATTTTTAAATAAGGAGTCCTAGCTTAGGAGTGATTTAGGAAAGTTCTCAGAGCAACTCTGACCAAGGAAGAGACAGAAACTTTTACCTTAGTGAGGAGGTGTGGTTGACCCCGTTGATAGGTATGATGCATTCTTTTAACAGATGTGATTGGTTGTCAGAGACACGCCCTTTTTGAGCCTGCAAGGTGTGCACACCCAGTGGAAATGAAATCAACTGCTGACAGTGACAGTGTTGTCATTGTTAATGTGATCACTCTGCTGATGGAAGGGTGAGACAGACCAAGGTCATCACTGCTGCGGCAGCTGCATCATTTTATTTCTGGCATTATAGCGTTATTGCACTGGGTGTGAAATGTGTTCATACGCCTAATAAGACAGACCACAAATAGCTTTTAATTTACTCACTGTCATCCAGTGTTTGGAGGATATTTCTCCAACCTCTTTGTCTTTCTGCCATTTTCTCCTCTGATTAAGAAACTCTTCAGCCTCTTAAAAGTCCTCCTCCCTGCTCCTAACAGTTTTTCACCTTAGGAGCTCTTTTAAGGTCTAAGATGCTCTGTGAATAACTTTTATCTTTACTAGAACCTATTTTTAACTTTAATGGGAAATTCTAACATTAAAATTCTAAGAATTTTCTTAGAATTGCGTCACTAGGAGCAACTCTTAGCACTAGGAAGCTTTGGGAATATGACCCTGGGTCTGATTTTCTTTTTTTTGAAGATGTAGAGGCCTCTGTGAAATAATTTAACCCCTGGTAAAAATGTGCAGAACACTGAAGGAACTATAACTTTCAAAGAAGTTTCAGCTGGTTGCAAAGTGCAATCCTTGCCGCTCGATGCCACCAAATTCCCCCAAATCTTACACACTGATCCTTTAATATGCTGTATTTTCCAAACATGATCGATTTTAGCCACCCCAAAGCCAGCAAGGATTTTCACAAAGGGATTCCTGATGAACCTTTTGATCAAGGATGGTAAATAAAATATTCAGTTTGAAGTGTAGAGGGAGCACTGTACAATGTAAATATTGATTAAAGTGAATATTAGTATTATAATGACAAAGGCAGGTGGGTAGAGGGATGTGTTGTTGTTCTGTGTTTTTGCTTGCAGTCCAGATGACTCAAAGATGAGAATAAACACAACTAATTATCTTGAAAAAAGACACAAACATGATTGTACCTGTCCTTTGTTAAAAGTGTTGCAATTGTCAGAAGGGCAATTTCATGAGAAAAAGCAAAAAGTTTTATATTAAAGCCAAATTGTTGTGTTTTCTGTCTCTGTGGATCCAATTAAACTGAATTCTGTAAGCAAAAAAGTGTCACTATGTATTGTGTCAAATTCGTATGTGAGAGAGAGACATTAATGTCATTCCTCCGCAGCGATACATGAGCTGTTTGTACTGACATTTTGTGGAGACTGACATGGCAGAAAATCAAATAAATTCATCTGTGTGTGCACATGTATATTATCGTGCAGTTATTCCACATCATGGTTGACTGCAAAGTCAATCAGTGGACTTACTATCAATCAACATACATACTTCCACTGGAGATGACTGCAACATAAAATTATAATGACTCCTTTGTGTGTTGTTGCGCAGAGGGTAATAAGTTGTCAGAACATGAATTATGCATTCGTAGCACACATATCTGGGTGTATGTGTGTTCATGTGTGTGATTGATCCAGAAAAATCTCTGAAAAACCCCCACCTTCCTCCCCATGCCTGTATTTACATATAACATATAACAATAACCACTGGAGGCAGCTCTCTGCATGGCAGGATAAAACCAGCAGAGAATATTAGTTAAGGACGGCTCACAGTGTCTCTCAGGGGAATGATTTTCATGATATGTAAAGACTACAAAACGAGATCAGTATGTAATGGAGAAATTTGAATTTAAGGGTTTAGACAGGTCTTTGTCTCATCATGTGGATGTATTGCACATTTTCCTTTCTAGGATGACCATTTCCATTTATAAATAAAGAAGTGTTTGATATGAATAAATGCACTCAAGGGTCATGATGGATTATTCATAATGTTGAGATTATGTGCTGGTCTTTAATTATAGAAGTCCTTCTATGACTGCATACAAGGAGCTCTATAAGGAACTCTGTTGTGTTCTGGTCCAATGCCCTCACAATACTAAAAAAAGGAAATTTTATTAGACAGTTGGTCACAAAATAAATAAACAGACAGACAGATAGATAGATACCTCGCAAAATACTAACACACACACACACACACACACACACACACACACACACACACACACACACACACACACACACACACACACACACACACACACACACACACACACACACACACACACACACACATTCTTGTACTTCTATCTTTGTTAGGACCCTCATTGGCATAATGCATTCCCTAGCCCCTTACCCTAACCTTAACCATCACAACTAAATGCCGAATCCCTAACCCAAACCTAAACCTAATTCTAACCTGAACCCTAAAGCCAAGTCTTAACCCTCAAACAGACCTTTGAAAAAGTGAGAACCGGCCAAAATGTCCTCACTTTGCAAAACTGTCCTCACTGTGTTGCTAAAATACATCTTTTGGTCCTCACTTTATAACATATACAAGTACACGCAGACACACACACAAGATGAAAACAGTACTGGCCATTGTGACGTTGCTGCGGCTAATAATAAATACATTTTAAAAAAAAAAACTAAAAAAAAAAAACTTTTACTCTGGTATCAAACCCTGACACCAACCTTTCTGCCTTTATTGGGGTTTAAACGCAAAACCAAATGCAAAAGCATCACAACCTATAAAATTATTTATTGACCCTTAGGAAGGAAATTCAGATATTGGAGTGACACAAAGTAAAAAGTAAGTAAAAATAATAATAATAATAATAATAATAATAATAATAATAATAAATCAATTTTATATAGCACCTTTCAAGAAACCCAAGGTCGCTTCACAATTGCAAACAACCACAAAATCACACAGACAACCACAAAATCACATGACATGAACAAACAGAAAACACAACTAGCTGGTGAAAGCCAGCAGAAAAAGATGCCTCTTTAGCTGAGATTTAAAAGAGTCCAGAGTTGGTGCCTGGCGAATCTCCAGCGGAAGCGAGTTCCAGAGGGTGGGAGCTGCCACACTGAAGGCCCTGCTCCCAAAGGTTTGCCTTCTAGTACGAGGAGTAAGTAAGTAAGAAAGAAAGACAGAAATAAGTAAAATAGAATAATAAGAATATGAAAATAGGAATAGAAATGAAATAAAAAAAAAAATATATACAGTTGCATTTGAAAATAATGAGGCAAGAAATATACGTCTGATAATACTGCAGTGTTGTCTTTAAGTTGACAGCCATAGTGGTGTGATATTTATAGTATTGTAGACACTATGTATAGTGTAGTTTGAGAGAGAATTCCTCGGCTTACAGTATAATCAGTCTTATTTTCTCGTGTAAGTATGTATGCATGTGTCATCGCCTGTGCAACACCTCTTTGAAAGCACACGTCAAACAGATTGATGTTGAAGGTCTCAGTGATTGTTTTCACAGAAATAACAGAAATAACCTTTTTTGTTTGCAGCAAAGTGTTCAGCTTCTCTGACGTCAGCATTGGAAGAGACACCCAGGTCCATTGAAAAGCAACAATTAGGGCCGACTTCTAAATACAGTTTGAATCTGGTTTGTTTAATCTAGATTTGTTGCCATGCATAATTTTGCTACACTGTTTGGCAGTTGAAAGCCAAAGTTCCTCCTTGCTCCCTTGCTTGCTGGATTTTTTTAAGGGCAAATAAAAGTTGTGTATTGATTCTTACTGAAGCAATAGAGAAAAACAATATTTAAATAAATGAATAGCAGCATAAATTAATCAAATCATCTAGATACACATACAGATGGAGTGCTCTCTTATCTTGTTTTTAAAAAAAGTTTCATATTTCATATTCTATTACTAAACTCTGAGTGTACAGATGCAACTTTAGTGGATAAAATGAGTAAAGAAATCTGTCATTGCTGTTTTCTATTATGCTCTTTTGTATGCATCAGTAATGACAGTGAATGCACATTTTAGTATTACTGCAACATAAAGTAAATCATATTCATCCTTAAGCAGTAAGACCTTGACCAACCTTCTGTAAGAGCAGGTCTGCTTTTCCTTCAACCTCTTTTTTGTTTTCACAACCTCACGCCTCACAACAAGCCTTTTTCACCAGAAGAGCAAAAATCAATTGCTTACTGATTGTCTAATGACAAAAAAGGACTCAAAATTACAAGACAAAAACAGATCAAATTGTTGATTGTGTGTTGACTCTGCTGATGCAGGAAACATCTATTTTAAGGACTGCCGTATTATTCTAACTACTGGGACCAGCTAGGGCTCCGGATGGGCAGTCGTGATGCTGCGAGTCTAGAGGGAGGATTGTGGAAAATACATTATGTAAGCAGAGGGTCACTGAAAATATACTACAGTGGTCAAAACCTTCCAGACATCCTCTGTAACCCCCCACCCCCACCCCGACCCCATCTTCAGGATTACTCTTGTGAATATAGCCCAGACCCACAGCCACAGGGATGTTAGATAGGTATTAAGGTATTAATTAAATAAGTACCTCATGATAAGAAACAGAATGAGTGTCATACACTTTTTTCTGAATAGACTCAATCACCATGACATCACGCTCACATATCACACAACTATAATTTTCTGGTAGATGTCTTGCAATTTATTTTTATTACTGATATGTAAAATCAGAAAATGTGTTGATTTTTGTTGTAGTTTTAAGCTGTAACTGTGATATTTTAATATTTACAGTTAAACAATGTGGTCTGACTTATCTGAGGTTTCTGCTGTGCATATTTATGTACTGTATTGCCTACAGTAGCTAGCATCTTTGATAAAGCAAATCTCCTGGCGTGGAAGCTACACAATGTACTGCATGCAAAATATATTTTAGCCATGTAATAAGAACCACCTGAAAAAAAAAATCAGTGTAAGTTGGAATATTTTCTCTGCTTTAGCTGACACACTAACCTATCAAGGTAAACCAGCAACTCTTGTGTTTTGAGAAGTAAAATTACTGTTTTTGTCAAACCAAAT